AAGCATCAACAAGCCCTCCTCGGGCTACAGCTAACGTGTGTTTGGGGAAAAGAGAGAAGAGCAATTAATGAGGAGCCCAGTTAGAACCTCCAGGGCCCTCTCTGTGAAATGTCAGTGAAATGTCAAGTGCCTTTCCAAGACTCTGCCTGCTTTCTGTGGGCTGGCAGCCTCTCATGTGAGCAGGATTACAGGAAACAGGAGGACAGATCCTTCAACATATCAGCTCCCCAGAAGCTTTCTTTCAAACAGCCAGCAGGCATTTACACAACCCCACACATCCGCACACCGACACCATGGAGACGGTCACACTGCTGCATTTGTGGACTCACACACACAGACACACACACTGAAATTAAAACTTTAATGCAGTCACATAAACATGCCGCAAGCAACTGACATTCTGATGAGGGGGAGAAAAGATCGTTTTGGCCCAAAACACTGCAATGTGTGTGTATTTGTGTGTGTGCGCGCACATGTGTGTGTGTGTGTTTGTGTGTGATGCTTGGGATGCTAATTACAAATTACCAATTTCACCAGTCCCATTACAGAGGGGGCAGAGGCATTTGATTGGATGGCAGCATCTGTTCAGCTACAAAACACAAACACAGACGACAGACTGGGAGCCACACACACACACACACACACACACACACACACACACACACACACACACACACACACACACACACAGCTTCTCCATGGCAACCAGACAACAGAGGATAAGAGGCAAATGAGGTGCGGTAAATGTTACAGGATGAAGATGAGAAAGGACAAAAGGACAAGCAGAAGAAAAGAACACGTGAAAGTAACGCAACGTTATGAAAAATAGAAAAATATGCAGGTGGTGTCGCAATAATTGAAAAGAAGTGGGCGCCCGCTCTGCCTCAGAACACAGTAAGAGCCGTTTGAATAAAAAGGAAGAACATGAAATAAGAAGGCATTATTATCATGGTCTTGCTGCTCAAACACGATACTGCTTCGTTTCAGGAATTTAAAAAAAGACACCAAAATGTAAATTTTAAAACTCTTTGTACTGAAATGTCAGGCGCTTTCACAAAAAATGACATTAACATAAGAAAACAAACATAATCTTAGCCCCTTATGCCTAATGCATCATATTTGATGCACGCATACAGTTTCTGTGAGTTTTCCAGACTTCTACATTATCAGTGTGATTTATATGTATTTATTAAAATAAATAAATTCCACACTACATTTTTAAGCAATAAATATGCTGCAAAAATGAATGTGGCAAATATAATAGGAATTAAAAGTAATATATTCAAATTCATATTAAATTAATGAAAAAACATATCAGAAGATTCAGTGTCACAAAATCCAATTTTCTGGCGATTATTTCAGTTTTTAGACTTTAAAGGGTCAGAGTGGACCATTTGCTCTTCCTTATTTTGTGGCAGACATATTTTGTTACAACAATGGATTCTAATATTAGTAGGGCTAAAATCTCAAATATTGAGGTCAGCGTGTGTACAGGCAGAAATCTCCAGACTACCTAAACTCTTGTTTTCAACCGTTTTATTTTTCTACTCTTGACTCAGTGTGAATCACACAGAGGTGATATAGTTAAAATGGTCGTCTCAGATACAGAAGCCCCACCTACCTGCTGTTTAAACCTTTTATTAGTGAGGGGCAGCCAATCAGAATAAAGTAAACTTAAAGGAAGAAGAGCTAAAACAGCGTGTTTCAGACAGAGCGACAAGCTGCTCCTAGTCACAGTTTAGGTCTGTGAATCACATATACGAAGCAGGAAATCAGCTCCAAATAGATCCACTTTAAGCTCTAATTGCTTTCTGCCATTCTTCCAAAGAGACAGGAACTAGATTAGCCGTGTGAAAGGAGCGTGAATGGGAACTTAAATTATGACACTGAGATGGTTACTCCTCTGTACATTTGACTGACAGTGTGTATAAACAGTGAGAAGCAGGGGCAAAGTGTCAAATTATGTTGATGGGCCATTGGGAGAGTCATCATTTTCTCCATCCTAGCAAGGTAATTGCAAGACAATAGATAATGACAAGTCATCATTCCACTCAATTGATTTAATCACTGAGGCCTCAGCGCCAGCAGCGCCGTGCTATCGTCTAAAAAAAACACTCATCGTTGGGCCAGATGACATTTAAACACACCTGAGTCTAAGCCAGAACTGCAAGTCACCATCCTTTTACTTATTACAAAGTTTAATGTGCTGGTGGTAAATCCAGATACAGAGCAGAGATTGATCAAAGTAAGGATTCAAGAGGTTTCGTGAAGGCTCTTAAAATGTGAATTTCTCAGTGACATCAGTCAAAATCTCATCGGTCCAGGAACACAGTGGACATGTAGTTTTATTTAAAAATAAAAAATCCAGCTTCACTCTACTCCCCACTCTACTCTCAGAGGTTTCAGGCTTTTAAGTAAACAGAGTTTCAACTTTTCAACTTGTATGAATCAGCCTATTATATTTCTAGTGCAGTTTAATTCAGCCTTTGTAGCTGATTTGGTTTAATTTTTAATCAGATCATTTAAAAGAATTACCTCCACTCCTCACATAACAAGTAAAACTATCTGAGGATTCATAGATGTCATTTCCAAACTTTTTTAAGTTAAGTAGACCGAGCCCTTTTACGTTAACTATAAGCTTACCTGGCACACAAAGACACCTGTAGCTGTTTCCCACGCTGCGGCAGACCCCGTGAGCGCAGGGGTTTAGGGCACAGAAGTCCACCAGCTGGGCGCAGGTGGGCCCTGTGAACCCTGCTGTGCAGCTACATCCAAACCCCAGGGGGCCGGGGCCCTGGGCGTAGCATGTCCCGTTATTGTGACAGGGGCTGGAGGCACACGGGTCCACCTTCTGCTCACATGTAGCACCCTGGTAACCTGTAAGAGGGCAGAGAGGGAGCAAATATCCTTAATTTGCTGGAAGGAGAGGCTTAAAGCATACAGCTGCGCTATTACTGGTAAATTGTTAGTTTTGAAGGGAAAGATTTGGGATTCAGATGAACCTGCTTTCAACAGTGGGTGACACAGCAGGAGTTGTGTTTATGCAAGGCAGGTGGTGCAATCTAATATGTGGCATGTACTTTGGCATAAAATTGCACCCACTCAACTGCCCACTGAAGCCGCTTCTTAATGCAAATGGAACTTTGCAGAAAAATGTTAATGGCATAAAAGAAAGTCCTCTAGAGTTAAAGGGGATCATAAGTTTTGTTTTTATTTTCTTTGAGTGAACTTTATTGCATTTATAACCACTAACTAAAAGGGATGTGCTTCAATTATTCATGCTGCATACGGTGTATTAAAAATGATGACAAAGCACCAACAACCAAAAATATGTACAGAGCAGGACAATAGGATGAAGTCAAATGCTTTCCCTAAAGCAATAAATAAATAAATAAAGACATTTATCATGCAAGAAAACCACAGTAAGTAATGCAGGAGTGCATTAAACAGTCCTGGTTATATTATACTCCTGTAATGTTTTAGACTTAAAAGCATTTTTCTGACGCAGTTATTTCACTTCTTAAATTGTGCATTTGGTACGTATGGTTATAATACCATACCATATAATTTAAGTGCACGCAAAAGAAAAGTTTCGTATGTAAGAAAACACATTGGATTACTTTTTTGACAAAAGAGGGAGTGAAGCTAAAGTCAGTAAACAGTCAATTTACCTTTAAAACTACACACGGAGGAAACACAAAGCCAGGTCCTGTTTATTTGCGTCACTGAATACATCATAAATTAAGAACACATTAAACATTACATATGTAGAAAAACTAGTTTGAATTCTATATGTGCTTTTAATGTTTTAAAGTCGAATTCTTTTGTAACACAACTAAAACTATGTTTTTAATATTTCAGTAAAAATGGGGAATAGCAGTGTGTCGCAGTGGTTGGAGGGATTTATGCTAGCCATTTTCCAGTGCTAGCTTTCTGCTAAGCTAAGCTAACACTCCTCAAACAGAACAAACAAAGGCAGTATTTGTATGATATGTGGTAGGTCTAATAGAGAAAACGCTAAAGAGAAAGTTAAACTAATTCAGACTTTATATACCCACTGCCCACTTTGTTTGGTACACTTTGCTAGTACCTGACAAGAGCCCATTGTGCCTTCAGTGTATTTTATATTGACATGACAGCATCACACGCTTGATGCTGATTTTTCGGTTGCATATCCATGATGCTAATCTCCCATTCCACCACACCCCATGGGTGCTCTATTGGATTGAGATCTGGTGACTGTAGAGACCATCTAAGTACAGTGAACTCATTGTCATGTTCAAGAAACCAGACTGAGATTATTTGAGCTATCTGACATGGTGAACTATCCTGCTGGAAGCAGCCATCAGTAGATGGGTATACTGTCGTTATAAAGGAACGGACATGGTCAGCAACAAAACTGACTGTGATATTTAAACCATGGTCAGTTGGAACAAAGGGGTCCAAACTGTGCCAAGAAAGTATCCAGCACACTATTACACCTGAACCTTTGATACAAGGCAGGATCTATGCGTTAATGTTGTGTATGCTAAATTCTGACCCTACACTTTGAGGGTTAAAGCAGAAATTAAGACTCATTATCACACCAACATTTTTCCAATGTTCTCAGCCTGTGTGAATTGTAGCCTCAGTTTCCTGTTGTTAGCTGTTAGCTGGTGTGGTCTTCTACTGGTGCAGGTCAACCGCTTCAAGGTTTGACATGATGCACATTCAAAGACGCTCTTCTGCATACGCTGGTTGTAGTGATTGGTTCTTTGAGCTAATGTTGCCTTCCTATCAACTTATAGCAGTATGGCCACTCTCCTGGCCTCTGACCTTTTCTTCCAGAGAATAGATGCTGCTAAATAGATATTTTTTCTTTTATGTCTCTTTTTTTCTCTCATTGTGAACTGTAAATGGTTGCGTGTGAAAATCCCAGTAGATCAGCAGTTTGAACTCCAGCAGGTCGTCTCGACCATGTCTAAATGCCTAAACACATTGAGCTGGTGCAATGTGATTTCATGATTAGGTATTTGCATTAATGACCACCTGAAAATGTGCACCTAATAAAGTGACCAGTGAGTGTAAATTAGAATGCAATAATTTAACTGTATCTACTCAATGTGACTGAAAAAAGAAACAGCACCTGTACGTACCAATCAATAGAAAACAGTTTTGATGCTGCAGAATCAGTCCTCAACAGTGATGGGAATAATGGCGTTACTAACAGCGTTACTTTTTTCAGTAACGAGTAATCTAACTAATTACTAATTACAACGCCGTTACAGTTACTAACAAGAAAATGTGGTGCGGTTGCACTACTATTTTTCAACAAACAGACGGTTGAAGCTGTCTTTAGCTTGCTGCACCTTATATCAGTTGCATGGAAGTAGCTGTCTATGTAAGTATCACTTTCTGGCACAACACCTGGAGCTAAGGGGGCAAAACAATCGCATGTGTGCTGCTGTTTGACTGAGGAAGAATAAAGTAGTTGTGGTAAGCCAATCACATGACCACTTAAAGACAAAGCAACAAGGTGATATATACCAGTTTTTAAATTGTGCTGATAGGCCACGTAAAACCAGAGTCATGATAAACAATATATACGCTGCGTTTTTTCCTCAATAGTTTCGTCACGTTTACTGTCTAAGGACAGCGCAGCAAGCACTCTCTGCTTATGACCAAAAAATAATAAAACAAAACAAAAAACAGCCCGTTCGTGTTTGTGGAAAAATGCACCATGTCAACCAATCAAAAAATGATATGGCGACATGACATTTGGTTGTTTAGGAAGAGGGGGAAGTTTTAGGAGTGATGGCGCGCGCGAGAGAGAGAGAGAAAGACAGCAGAAAGAAAGAGAGCTAGTTTTGAGAAATTTGTGACATTCAGCATGTTTGGAGTGTGTAGTTAATGTGTTGTCTTGTGTAGTTAGTGTGTAGTGTTGTGGATAGTTTTGTGTTGTGTGTCAGAACAATGAGGCGACTGCTGTCTCCAGGTAGAAACAGGAGTGATACACCTGCTGCTGTCAGACCTGAAGGTATCAGGCTGTGATTTTCTCCTTTAAAGTGGACAGAAATTATTTTTTGGAGTGGCACAAATAATTTGTGTGGCATCTTATTGAATGCAGAGCAGCTGATTGTTCTGTAAATAGTTTGAAATGGTAATTAAAAATGGGTAAAAGGTAAATGGCTGCAAATAACTTTGTTGTTTGCAAAACTTGTACATAGGATTTTAAAATTTACAATTTATATTTGCATTTAAAGTTATGAAATATGATCATTATCATGTTTGTGGTTGTTACAGTAAAAAAATATAACCTTTACTCGGATTTTATGTTTTTTGTCTGATTTTAGATCAATTGTGTTAATACAATATGTTAAAATGAAAACACAACTGTAAACTGTAAAGGATGATACCAAACAAGGCAAAGTAAATCGTTTTTAAAGGTGAAATGTAGAGGAAACATCAAAAGTAGTTAAAAATGGCCAATTATACCCTGGACCCCAGAGGGTTAAACATTTTTTTTAAAGTAACGCAATAGTTACTCTTTCAAGTAATTAATTACTTTTAGAATCTTGTAACTCAGTTACTAACTCAGTTACTTTTTTGAAGAAGTAACTAGTAACTATAATTAATTACTTTTTCAAAGTAACTTGCCCAACAGTGGTCCTCAAAGAAGCAATTCAGCATATTCAGAAAAATGTTAAATTACACCTTAAAGCCTGATTAATGGCTTGTTTTCTATAATATCCTCAGAAAGAAAGAGAGAGCAAATGGTTTCACTTTGTTGTTAGTGAGTGACAGCACCTTAACACACACCGAAATATTGTGCTGACAGGGACATCTATAATGCTACACCAGCATCTCTGAGTCTGTTTCCGTCATGCTCCTCCGTGTTTGTATGGGGGCTCTGTCCTGTGCACATCCATGATCTCATTTGCTGATGTGCCTCACGTGTTTCTTCTTCGCCTCCTCTCATTATCTTGTGAGCCTCTGCCTCTTTCACCTATCTTCCGATTCTAAAAATAACCTCCTCCCGTCACCCCTTCTCCTCCTCCTCCTCCTCCGTGTTCACCTCCCATGAGAACCACCATTGTGCTGCAGAGAGCAGAAAGACACAGTCTCCACGCACATACCTTTTCTTTGTATGTCTTAGTCCTCTGATTCACAGCGTAGTAACTCCCTGTGCTGACTGCACCAGAGTGCACACTCAATTGAACTAATGAAGAGATCTCTCTGAAGCATCCATTGATCTGCAAGACTTTATTTTACCGTGTGAGCAGGACATTTATCATTCAGCAGAGAGGACAGGAGCAATCAGGAGCAGGCAGGGAAACTATCACCACAGCTCTTCTTCCCTTTGCTGCCTCCTTCTCTTTCTGCTTCATCCCTTCCTTTCTTTGGTCCTCTGACTTCTTCCAAGCCCCCTCATCTCATCTTCCTTTCCCCGTTTCTCTCATACAGTTCCAAAAGCGCCGCTGATACCGAACACACACATAAATTTAATTTCCTGATTTGCATTTGTTCCGCTGTGGTTTAATCCCCCGCTTTCCTTCGTATTTAACATATTAGCTCCATTTAAGAACTTGAGCTTCATTTCTCTCTTTGTCTGGTTCAGCTTTTATTTTTTCGGTAACACGTACATTTATCTAAAGAGGCACAACCACACTGTGACATAGGTCCCAGCTGACAGAGAGGAGTCTGTTCATTCCTGCTGCCAGCATTCAAACTGCCAGGAGTTAACAGTATAAATTTAGCTAGCCTGCTCACTCCTCCACCCTTCTACTTTTGGCTGGAGGCAGCCACAGCGCTGGCGTTCACACTTCACACTTTTCTGTCGGTGTGTGTAAGTGAGAAGAAGTTAATATGACGGTGGTTGTCTCTGTTGAGGATTCAGAGTGCAAAACATGGCCTACTTACACATGAAATTCAGATTAAACATGAGACCTACAGGTTTGACTTTTCCAGCACTTTGGATTAAAAAAGTTAAATTTCCTGCATTCTTCTTCTCAAAGTCTGTCTTAAAACAAGGCTACGTCCAAACAATTAGGTTTTCATTTCAAAACATTTGAAAAGTTTGCAATTTCTGTCCAGATAATAAATCTCCAACTGATACTAACATGCACAAAAAACAACCCAAGACATTCCCTGTAAATTAGGCATGATTGCTGTCACGATAAACAGTCTACAGTTTGTTATCTGCCAGTCAGGATTGAAGATTTGTTTTTTCTTTCTGGTCATGTGACAAAGAAATGATGAAGCAGGTAGGTAAGGACACTTAGTAAGACCCAGTCAGGCTGCAAACCTGGACACCTGGTTCATTGTTTATTAAACTCTCTGCTTCTGACCACACACATATAAACACACTAAAATATAGCAATAAAATAGGGACGATAGATTTTTTGGAAGTCTCTGTTTTCAGGAGAAATTATGGTTCAGCTTCTTCCTCTTAGAAGGGAGTTTTTCTTTCACACTGTTGTCAAATGCTTGTCAATTGTTGTTTTTGTCTGTATTAATCTTTACCTACAATATAAGGTACCTTGAGGCCAGGGGCAGATCTGAGGGTGGCATGGAAATCAAAGCCATTACTTCACGCATATGCTTTAATCTTAAGAAAACATTCATAAAAGCAGTGGATTATGAATTCCTTTCCTCACTGGTGACCTTGCTCCTTAGGCAGCTGTAGACTGATAATGTGTGTGAGGCCTTCTTTCAGACTGTATATGTATATGTGGTTAAAATACATTAAATGCAGCATGTATACACATTTCATATAAACATAGTCTGTAACTTTCTTATTGACTTTAACCCAAATAATTAAACATTTCAGTTACATGAATAATGTAATAATTTTTGATTTTATGTACTGTCCTAGCCTATATAATAAATAAGTGTGTAGCCCAGTAAGTTTAAAATCCAGAAAGCTACACAACTTGTGTTACAACTCGTGTTAGAAACACAAGTCTAACTCTTCTAACACATCTAACGCTCTTTTTATTACAAATAATTAAAATGTCACGTGCTTAAATTTACACAAAATGTCAGAAACCTGCACTATCATGAAAACATTTTCTCCAAAAATGTAAACATGAGTTATTGGGTTATTACACACACGTTCATTCATTTCCAGACTGTAACAATCAACCACCTGTGTTGATCTGAAATGCCCATGGTGTTGATTTAAAATGTACTCTGGCACAATCAAGGGTGGATTGCTGCTTAAAACAAAAAATAAATCTATGTCAACCATGTTTTCATGTATTCAATGTTAATTGTAGCGAGGCTCAAACTCTTAATGCTAGGTTATTTTAATAAACAATATTGTCATATGCAAAGCTAGAGTGGCACTAGGGGTGGCAACAGATTCTTTTTAGGTTGGGACATGCCACCCCATGCCATCACAGTAGATCCGCCCCTGCTTGCGGCAAGTATTATTGCAATTTGGTGCTACACTGAAAACTGAAAATTGCAAGTGAACCCTTATGACTTCTACATCAGAGAAAGTGCTGCAGCTGGAACTAAGTACATACTTTGTATTATTATGAGTCGAAAAGCAGATATAGATTGGAAAAATGTAGAGATATTTTTGATAACATGATGCTGATTGCAGTAAAAACTGTGGGTTAAAACCAATAAAAACCAGTGGATAGAGATCTCAAACACCAGTTTGGCTGTTTCTTGACTCAAATTCTCTCTGAAAATTTGTTTTCGTCAAATGCTGCCGGTAGGAAAAACAAACAAGGATGAGAATATCTTGTTTCCCTGTGAGGCGAACCGAGCAAATCAAAATGCAGCTCATGTTGTCGTATTTGCCCTATTGATCCCAAAGCTGATGCATCTCTGATGACAGCTACTGGAGTTGTCATGCCTCCCATCCTTTTACTTATTGCTTGTGTCTGTGCAGACACTGAAAGAAAACGTATCTGTGCTCTAAGCAGCATTTAAAAACATGAACACCCATCCTCTGCATGTGCCAATTTGGCTGTTTAATTTTGCTTGTACTTCTTTGCCAGTGGAGAAAAGTAATAAATACAGAGTGTCTCATTTATCATGGATTGCAGAGCGTTTCTGCTCTACTGGCTCCCAAAAAGAGAGAGAGAGAGAAGAAAAGCTGGAAAGCCAGTGTTATCGGTCCATTAAATGGTTGTTATCAGCTGTTATCACTCCCATTGATATTACCAGTAGGCAAACTTTTCCCCCAGCTACAAGGCGCAGTAGGCTGTTGTCACTTCATTTAACTGTGCAGTGTTACTGCATAGACATAGGTGGTGTGTTTCCAGTTTGAAAGAGCAACTAAAATATGTGTGAGAATGGTGGAGTTGGCAAAAATCAGATAACTTTCACCAAGGAAATGTAGGTTTGTATGGACTCTTTGCATGTAGTGCCATTCTGACTTGCTCTGTTTTTCATCTTAGTGATGCCTGCTAGAAGGTGCAAGACGGCACCAGCTGGCTGTCATAGGAAGCCAGTAACAGCCGTTTGTTGGGTTCATAACAATTTGAAACAGGTGGAATACATGTTTTTTTCCACCTCCATGAGTTGGTTTCTTACTCAGAGGTTTTACACCTGAGAATGTCGAACTCACTCACATCGTGGTCCACATACAGCCCACTTTGATCTCGAGTGAGCCAGACCAGTGAATCCCCCCGGTCTATCGGTATGAAGAAGTTTAACTGCACACTTAATCCCTGAGATATGTTGGTATTAGAAAATAAAGTGCAATTTCAGCATAACAAAGAAATGCTGTGATAGTAAAAGAATGAAGTCTGTCCCAATGACTCTTTGGGCATAAACTGTAAAAAATAAATGTATAAAATTTTGGAACAAGTTCTGGTAACTCATTGCCCAGAATGTCATTTAACTATAAAACAGATCGTTTTTGGTCCTTTACAGAAATTTTTATTTTAAATACCTATAAAACAGGAAGGTAATAATATTGAATAATATGTAATAAATATAGTTAAATATTCAAAACTCATACTCAATTTGTTGCTGTATAAATACATTTGAACTGAATTCTTTGAATTGAAGTCTTCCCTAGTTTTCAAACACACTTAAAAAAAACAAAAGACACAACAGTTTCTGACATACAGATAATAAGACATCGTGGGGTCATCTTTGAGCCCTGCAAGCACTTCTCAATTTGACCCCCACCTGCTACCTCATGAAAAGCAGAATATTTGCTCATGCAGTGTGTGAGCAGGTGTTGTAGTTCTGAATGATTACTGAGATACTGATTAATCCCTTGTTAGAAATAATGAAACACCCTTTTCTATGGATTTGTCATTTTGAGTTTGTGTGGGTGGAACATTTTTTTTCCCAGGCTGTTACTGATTTTCTCTGCCATTATTTTTGCATTTGTTCCAACAACCAGGTGCTGTTGCAGTGTGAAATGTATCACCTTTCCTGAACTGAGATTTGTGTGTAAAATGTGCAGTTTTTCCTTTGTCGCTACATTGAATTAGTTTCTAAGGTTACACAACATGTGGCAACAAACTTGTCTACAAGTCAAAATTCAGATGCAGCATGAAGTTTTTTCAAACCTCTCCCTTCACAAAATCTCAGCACAGTGACTGCTTTGGCACAGTTCTTGACTGAGCTTTCACCAATATTGCTTTAATCTTAAGACAACATTCATAAAAGCAGTGGATTATGAATTCCTTTCCTCTCTGGAGACCATGCTCCTTAGGCAGCTGTAGACTGATAATGTGTGCGAGGCCTCCTCCAGACTGAGAATGAACTGACTGCTGGGATTTATTCCTGGAACAACAAAACAATTTTCACTCAAGGCTTTCTTTATTCACATGTTGATGTCCACGGTCGGCTAATATTTTCACAGTCTGTGTACATACTGGAGACCGCAGTGTTGAGAAATGCTGTTTTGACAACTGCTTTGTGGCCACAGGTTTTAGGTCACTCGGGCTATGAAGACTAATTAAAATAGAGAAGGAGGGCTCAAATTAAGCATGTCAGTGGCACAGATACTCTCATACATGCACACGCGCACACACACAGCGTCTATGATAACAGCTAAAAGCTGCACACACTACTGCGGCAAAAGTATTTCTACAGATTTCTCTTTGTTTTTCCTTCTTTTTCACAAAGGCACACAAACACCATAAGCTGTGAGGTTTCGTGGCAATCTCAAGCACACAGACCACTCATTTCTGGCAGCTTCACTCATTCCTTCTGATTCACTTACGGCACACGATTGGTTCTAGCATGCGATAACGGGCTTCCTACCTTCGGGACAGTAACACCTGGGCCCGGCCAGGCTGCTGAAACAAGTGGCTCCATTCTTGCAGGGCTGGGAGACGCAGTGATCGACCAACAACTGGCAACGCTCTCCTTCATAACCTGAGAGACATGAGGTTTATGATCACACTGCTTTTGCTGGAGTTAACATTCTGTGCACTGTTATCATACAAGGATGTGATATATTAATATTTATACATCTGCAGAAGACTAAAGTGATGGAATACATGGAAAAGCTAGAAATGATTTGCTTTCAATGTTGGATTGCTAATTAAGTACTGTGTTATTACATTTGTGTTATTACTCTTGACCTGTTAGCTGTTTTATTCCAATACATGAAATCTCTGTTTGCCTGCAAATTGCTCCCACACAATCAGTTCAACAGCCTAAAATGGCACACAGGTACACCTTACACCCCTGAGAGTCTTTATCTACATCAGATATCATGAATAGTATGTTACCAGCCTGACAACCACCTAACAACAGGCTGTAATGCCATCTATAACATTTAATATCCATAGTATGATTTTCACTTTAGGGCAATAACTAAATAATGAATATCCACGTAACTTGAGGGATGCATGATACAGTAAGATGTCATCATGTTGCCTAGCAACAACCTACCAGTTGGCTAAATTGACACATTTGTAGCCTTTGTGCACTTACAACACCTTATTAAAAAAAAACGTGATATTAATTTTACTGTAATGACACCTAATGTAAACGCGATTTAGGCATGTTATATTATGATGTCATCACATTGTCTAGCAACCACCTAACAACGCCTAACTACAGCATGATTGTAGTAATATTTAATATTATTAAGAGTAGCTGCTCAGAGTTGTACCTAATTTGGTTTCTAATTAAAAAATAATGTCAGCAAGACCACCTGAGCCACAGAGTAAAGACGGTGGTGTTTGCTGTCTGTCTCCGCGTTTTTAATTTTTTCCAAACAGACGCTCACAGAGGGCTCGTTAGCACAACATGCTAATGAGAAGTGACTGGCAATCAGTAATCACCTGTGACATTTACGTTCCTACCACAGGGTCTTTGTTTCCAGTTCCCGTCTCAAAATAAATCTGACAAGATCAAAAGTTCAGGCTACTCTCTGCTGCTCGTTTTATTCAGACATTTTCTTAATGAAAGAGGCTCTCACCTCCCAGCCAAGACAACACAGTCAGGTTCCAAAATATGTGAATGGGGAATCTTCTTCAAATACAAAAGCATACTGGGACCACTACTTTTTAAATTTCTACTTTTTATACATTACAAGAAAGCATTGCATACATTTCCATTGCTATGCAGATGACACCCTGCTATATTTATCCATCAAGCCAGATGCCAGATGAAATTTTCTGTTTCTAAATTCAAATAAAACTGAGGTTATTGCACTCGGCCCAAAAACTCTTAGAAACATGGTGTCTAGCTGATACTTACTTTGGATTGCATTAGCTTGG